GGGTTTAAATATTTATTTTTTCCCTTGTGCAATTGGCTCAAAATCCCTCTATTTGATGCTTGATACAATGTCTTCTGATTGATTACACCTAGATATTCAGCTGCAGTAATGCTATTCATAGGTTCTGACACACAGCTGTCACAGACAAAATGACAACAAAAGATTCAGGATATTTAGGATTAATCAAACAGCATGAACCCACAAGTAAGCCAGCCAACCAGGGTATACATAAATAAATAAAATCTCACAAACACAAACACGCTGATGTAGGCTTAGGTGACAGACCACATCAGTCACACCACAGGCATTCATACATTTTGAGCAGGCCATCATAGTAGGTGGTATGACATTATTCCAACTCATTACCGTCAACCTGGAATATTGTAACATGACAAGACCCAGTTTGATGCTTGTTAATAATCTATTTTTACCGTGATTATACTGCTGTGAATCGAGGCCAGTGAATGCCCAGTGGCATGCATGACCATCACAAAATGAAAATAGATGCAGAACAGATGAGGTTTGTTACAGACAACCACACAGATACCCATCATACTAAACTGAAAGCTTCAGCTGCAATAGTCTTGCATTCAAAGAACAGTAATATATACTCCAGTGTAATATATTACTAATTCGTTTTTGCTGGGATGAAGTTAGACCACTGTCAATATCAACAGGTGAGACAAACCTGATCAACATTCCTGCTTCAAGCAAATGCACAATTTTTACTGTTTGACATTGTTACTGTAGGGATGATTATTCAATTTAATAAAAACTAAACTTCCAAACTTTTAAGAAAGTGGTTGGCATACAGGGTTGAAAAATGTATGACTTGTTGAGCAAGGTTTAAAAAATAACATGGAGTATAAAGGTCATTGTTTAACAAAACCTATCCAATAAATACAATCTTAATAATAATATGTATTTGTTTGAGATGTTTACCATTTATCATATGGTAAGTATGAATAAATCATAACTAAAACAGGTTTAACTTCATTGTAATACTCCTAACATCTTTGCTAATTGGGTGCTGGTAAAACCTATAACTTCAGGTGATTCATAAGCCTAATTTAATCAAGACTTTTATCATCTTTTTCATAATCATGGTTCTACAATTCTGTCTTAAAATAAAAAGTTTTTCAAATCAAATGCTAATCAGGCTGGAAAGATGCTTCTTTATACATGTGCACCCTGATTTTTTCTTATTAGCATCAGTAGGCCTACAGCAGAATGATTAGTGTTAAGCTAATGATTAAAAAAAAACTGTAACTGTAATCGCTGAAACTACACCATGCATAACCAGTATCGGATCATTAATCAATCTAATTTATATAATTCATTTGCTCAGTCCAACAACTCAATCCCAAGATAGTTTTGCTACTAATTAATCGCAGCATCAGTGGGGAATGAGGATATGTGCTGTTTGGCCTATTGGATCACTGAGTGATTCAAGGCAAAGTGTTTCAGCGTCAGGCGGTAAGACATCTGACAGAACTCAGAGTGCAAAAAACCTTACTGAAGAATTCAACAATTGAATTCCTTGTCACCTAAAACCTTAAAGTTTGCCTCTACCACAGCTTCCTAAACACAGCCCAATGGTGAAATCGTTGACCCCTTTAACAGCAATACAAAAGAAGTGCGTATGCGATCTGTCCTTTCAGTAAAAGGAACACAAACTTTGCTTTCAATGAGGTTTATATAACATGAATTTTAGACAACTTGCTGCTTTCGGGGCAGATATAAATACAATTAAAAAACCCTGATAAAACCCCTCTTTTAACTAGTAGAACAATACACATGACTGTTGATATTTTAAGCTTCCTGTTTGTGAAACAGAGATTCATCCTTTTCTTTGAAGGCCTCAACAATTCCCTATTGGACTGTGTTTAATCTCTGTGAGAAGCTGCAACACAGCAGTAAGTTTATCGAGGCCAAGCTTTGGATGATTTTAAATGGTGGCAAACAACATTTTAATAAGATCCTGGTTGAAAAACATTGAATTTAAGTGCTAATGTATGCAAATGTAGTGCTTAAAAGTAAGCGTGTTAACTGTGGAAGGGTCACTCCTGGGAATTTCAGTAATAACCCAGTAATACATTTACATATTGTGTTTACATTTAGAAAATGGCAAAAGAAAGCTAAAAATATCATCCCTAATGAGGGATCATAACATTTAATGATTCATGACAAATTAAATATTGTAATATAACTTAGGTTTGTTCTAAATGAGACGTCAAGCTAATACAGAAGATCATGTAGAAACAGAAAAATGTGTTCTGAAAGCGGAAAAAGAAGCTGTGAAGTTAAATGAAATCCCCATCACTCGAGGGTTGAACTGCATGTCGTGTATGCCTGCTCAGCGAAAAAGAAAACGGCAGAAGTCTTAACTGCTGATCCAGGAAATCTGCTTCGCCCCCTCAATGTCAGAGGTCATAGTGAGTTGTCAAAAGCACATCAAGCTAAGGTGGTTAACATAAACCGGGACTGTATCAGTATGTCTCCCCCTTACCCCAAGGACATCAGCTTGTTGCCAAATCACATTTTGTTTATTACATGTCACTTGTTAGACACTTTTATCCAAAGCGACTTAATACTGTGGGCAATCCCCACAGGAGCAATTTTGGGGTGTAGTGTCTTGCCGAGGGACACAACGACATGCTGACTGCAGTGGGGTTTGAACCTGTGACCCCCTGATCCGAACACCAACTCACTGCACCACACGTTTATCCTTTAAAAGTTTAATAACATTACGTTTATTACTTTCTGAAGGGATAAACGTTGTGTTTATATTTGGGAATCACAATTTCAGAAGGGAAAAAATAGTCTGAAATATGTCTGTGTTACTTGACCCAAAGAAATTGCAAGTACAAGCTGTCTGACCGGCACTTTGAAATTACTTTCTATAGCCAAAGAATATATTTTAGTATTCACAGCGAAAGCCGGTCACCACTAAATGAATCACTCGTCATACTGTAAGTAGAGCTTGTTAATTGGCTTTTTGAAGAGGCTCTCCAATGAATAATAGCAGCATCCTTTATTCTGCAGGCCTAGTTAATTCAAGAATGTGTCATTCGTTTTAGATCACAGGTTTTCAAGCCCGGGGCCAGGGACTGGAGCAGAACAACTCAAGTGCACAATCTTGAGATTCAATTTCCCATTACAAAACACACCTGTTGAGTTCCTGGTTGACTTGAGAGATGAAATCAATTTTTTTCTGCATTTTACACTACATTTGTTGAAGTCAGAAATATATTTTGGGTGATAAGCCCTCCTGCATTCAATGTCAGTTTATCCTATAAAAATACAGAAAGCTGATATCAAAATACCATAATGCACAAAAAGCATTGTATTATAAACAGGAGGAAGAGGTCTATTGTCCATACATACGTTCTGTGTTTTATTATTGGCAAGCAAAAACTCAACAAAACAAACTTTGGCTCCTTTGAGCTTTCCAGGTACACTCACAGAAATATTTAACCCTAACTTTTAAGATTTATATAAAATAATTACATGACAAAGTTCCATTTAATTTGTTTAATATTTTGAACATAAACCTATCTAATAAACTTTACATAATGCATATGCATCAGTGTAATAAAGCCTATTCATTTGAAATGCATATTCACCAGGTTTATGTATTCAGTATTAATATAATTTATTGAATTTAAATGCATATTAATCAGATTATGTATTCAGAATACATTAAGTATATTTGTTTGAATTACATAGTAATTAGGTTACCTATTCAAGATGAATAATGTGTATGTGCTTGAAATACATAACAATTAAGCTTAAATTCAATCAAAATGCATTAGATTTATGTATTTTTGTGATTAATATCCAATTAATTTTTCTATTTTCCATTCAACAATATCTCAATGATTCATACAATCAGACCACCTTGTTGATTCAACAAATGTATTAACATTAGTGCTGGGGGGAAACGATTATTTTGAAAACGATTAATCGGGCGATTATTTGATCGATTAGTCGACCAATCTAACGATTATTTTTCTGTTGTTCAATTCATAAAAAACGTAATGTAAAAAAAAAAATTTCACGATACTGTGTCTCAGGGGATCTTAATATTTAAGAACCTATTAATGTGTTATACCAGATTAACGGAAATAATCTCAGCTAATTGACGATACAAACCATGTTTACCAAAACAAAACACAAGTCTCATAAGAAGCATCTAAATGACCCCTGAGCGAAAAATGCTAACGGACATTGGCACAGAACTCAAGATAAAAGTACCCTTATTACTTATCGTAGCTGCACATACAATATATCCGATTAAAACTGAGACTCCACAGATTATGTAGGTATATAGTATCATCACTGAGTGATCCGGACTCGCGACAGGGGAAGCAAATACAGTCATCACAACACGTACCTTCACAGAGCTTCTAGGGAGATCGTCTCACCACCGTAGCTGTCAATCTGATCAAAAGACGTGTTCAATGGCATTAAAATGAGAAAAAACGCGGCTGAATCGGTTAATCCATAGGTTTTTAACGTCTATGTATAAAAAAATGATTGAATTTATAATCCATAATTCCATTTTATGTAAAAGATCGGAGAGCAAATGCTAGCTGCTAATGGTAGCCACCACAGCTAGCTGCTGCTTCTGCTAGGCTATGCAGCAGTCTCAGTGAGATATAAATATATAAATATCTTTGCGTTTTGGACTAACTTTAAAATATTCCCATGCTTTTGAAGACCTAGGGCGAGATGTTTTCGTTTGGGGGCTTCGTGCGCAATCCTGTGAGGAGGAGGTGGTAGCCGTTTCAGTCTCCATTGTGTTTGAAGTGCGATTGCGAACTGCTTGTTGCTTTGGGTGACCCACGTGTGTGTAGCGACGCGTCGACGCGGAAATATGTCGTCGACGATATTTTGAAGTCGACGCGTCGCTACAGCACTAATTAACATTAAAGCAAACCTCTTCTCTTCACACAGACACAGTACTCAGCAGGTAGTGTAGCTCTTCAACCAAGTCATGTTGTAGATGGAACATGTAAAATGTTTTCTAACTTTAATAGAACAGAGACAAGTTAGGAAGGTTAAACAAAGTGTTGACTGAGCACCTGCCGTTTCTAGCTTTCTGTGAATCACCTGAGCAATTTGAGTTTCAGTGCTTGTACTTTAGGGGAAAGCTTGGACGATTCCAGGTCCATCAGGATCTTCTGGTAAACTTCGAATGTATTCTTCAAGCTTTTTGGATAGCTTAGATTAAGTGCGTAGATCAACCCATAAAGCATCACGCATGCATGGTTGATACTCTGGAGGTTGTGGAGAACTTCGACCCCTTCCAGGACCACACCGACATCTGCAAAGCGTCCACCAGGACCATCAGGATCATCACTCTCAGCTCGAACGGTGTAGATTGCCATAGTCGTCCCTGCGACGTCTGCCTCGGCCTCACCGCATTCGATGTCCTGAAAGATGGAGGGAACAGAGAACAATGAGCTGTGTCACTCTAACCTTGACCACCAAATTATAAGCAGCTTATCATTGAGGCCAAGTGTGTGTTCATTTGAAGAATTCCCTTAAGGCACTGTAGATATAGCATTCATGAAAATGAGATGGACACAAGTTCAAGGTCACAATGACCTCAAGATCTTTGACTCCCTAAAAGCCTGGAAAACAAAACAAAAAGTCACATTATGTATAAATGGAGTTGTACATTCAATGATCATCAACTATTTAAATATGATAAAAAGTGGTGTTTGAGCATTGTTGATCACAATGAGGGTCGCGTTAAAGAATCTCGATAGCATTTTTTACCGTGTTTGAGGGTACGTGCCATAAAGAACAGCATGTCTTTAAAGTAATACTCTTAATCCTTTAATTTAGAGAATTTTTTAATGGTGCACATGAAACATAAGACAGTAACTTACATGTTCATAGGTTAGTCCTCCTCTGAGGGTAAGGTTCCGAGTTTCTTTAAGATGTAAGGATTTCCGGGGAGACAGAAGAGACTGCACTGTATCCAATGAAGCCTTTGACCTGCCACAATAAAAATGGAGTCAACAAAACATCCCAACTTAAAATGTAAAAAAAGAAAAAATACAGGACCAGGAACCCATTTTATTCAGAGATCTGTGAAGTAAATGAAAACATTCTCATCAGTAATCAATATCTGAAAGAGCCAAATAAGAAACTGTTCTTTGATACAATGTAGGGGAGAAAGGACGGTAGGAAAGAGGCAAACCTCTTCTGTCCACCCCCCGCTCCTACCCGCCACCATCTCTTCTCACCTCCTCTCTCCTAATCTCCTCTCATAGGGTAAGGTTTACTCTTCCCTCCTATCCAACCCTCTCCAAACCTCTCTTGTGCTGTCCTCCCTCCCTCCCTCTCTCCTAACCTAATTCTGTTTCCTGTTAGGAAATAGAAGGAACTAACCTTTCCCTATCCTGATCTTCTCTCCCCTAACCCATCAACCCTTGAAAATGCCCCCTTCTACTAAATAGAATCAGTCCCAACAGCCAAAACAAAACAAAGTACCGTAATTTTCGGACTATAAGCCGCGCCTTTTTTCGACCCTGCGGCTTATATAACGGTGCGGCTAATCTATGGATTTTTACAGCTAACGGCCACTAGGGAACCTCCTAAATCTATGGATTTTACAGTCCACCACCTTTAACACTATGTGCTCTATGACTGAAACGCTATGTGATACAGTACAGTTTACACAGCACAGTACATGTTCTGTAGCTACTATTGCACTAAATGGTAACACTTGAATACGTTATGCAAATATGTAACTTGTTTGTTGAAATGTTAATAAATGGGAGCTTCCTCAAACAGCCATCTCTTTCCCGACAATCCCCTCTGTGCACGAACCCTTACATATGGTAATTAAACATTAAAACACCTGCGGCTTATCGTCCAGTGCGGCTTATATATGTACACATCATTCAATTTAGCTGCTGCGGCTTATATGCAGGTGCGCTTTATAGTCTGAAAATTACGGTATCCTTACTACTACACTGTTTTATGACTTACCTCTTGACATCCGGCTTTGGCTTTACCGACTGCCTCAGATCCTCAGCTGCCTTTTCACAGAGAAAAACAATAATTATCCCATTATTTCTCTCCATGGATATCAGCCCTAAATACACTACAAGGTATGGTAAAGGAGGAAGACAGGAATGGCATTATCTTTGTAAACTACATTGTAGAAAAAAATCGAGAATTAACCCATTTAGCCCTACTTTTACACCTTTTTAAAATCCTATGCTTTATGTATGAGTGAAGTTACACTGTGGTAGGAGGTAACACACAATAAAGCTATATGTGTGAGAGCAAGAGAGAGACACAGACAGACAGAGGGAGAAGATCTAGGGGAAGAGAGAAAAAGCAGGACGGAGAGACAGAGAGAAGAGGGAGACAGCCAGACACAGAAAGAGGGAGGGAGAGACAGAAAGGAGAGAGTAGGGTGAGACAGACAAAGTGTGATAGGATAGAGAGGGAGAGAGAGACCAGTTGATCAGTCTTGTGTTGGTTACGGTGTGTCCACACAGCAGCTTTGACCAAATCTTGAAAATCCTGGAGCTGGGCGTGTCTGACAGCTTGGGGATTTCGCGACCAACAACCAATCACATGAATATCACATGAATATCCCGCCCCCGACATACAAAGCAAAAAAACCCGGTTCTTCTACACTATTGTCAAATAGGAAGGGCTATGATGAACATTTATTTTTTTAACATTTATGAGATTAATGTTTATGGTGCTATTTTATGCTACATTCCATGCTGGCTAATGATACTGTCTATGCTTGCTAGCAACGAAGTAAACTAGCAACGAAGTAAACTGGATATAAAATCCCCAAACAAGCGAAAACCTACCAGTTTCACCCACTGTCTCTGCCACCTCCCTCCATGCCTGGTTCCTCCGGTTTGTATCCCGGTAAGTAAATAGGGACTGGTCATAAAGAACCGGGTGATTTGCTACCGCAATAACTAAATTCTCCTCCATTTTTGTGGAATGTAGAAATGAACTGCGGGTCTGGTTCTCCCAGCTTGCACGCGGTTTGATTGGCTAGCGCTTGAACTGTCAGATTTGCATAAACGGATCTGATTGGCTGTCGCTTCCAGCTCAGCCTCAAAAGTTGAACATTGTTCAACTTTGGAATCCTGAACATCCTGGAAATCCTGGAAATCTTCGCCTCGCCCCCCCACAATGCAGTTCGGCGACAAGCAAGGGAAAGTGACGTCATCCCCATTCAAAGTCAATGGGCGGAGACGCGCTGGAAGCGGTGGACAAATCGCCAAAAGCTGCTGTGTGTACGGGCCGTTAGAGTTCCAGTCAACATGTCCACTTACTGGCAATAACTTCAAGGAAGACAAGAAGGCTTCCCTCTCTCTGATGTTCTCAAGGCGTTTGAGTTCATAAGCAGACAGTCCACAACATGTATCCTACACACACACACACACGCATGCGCGCGCACACACGCGAGAGAATCAAGCTGATCAGCATCAAGAATCAAAACCGACCTGACATAATCTGAAAGGCCTATCTTACTAAATAACATTTCCAAAACAGGTGTCAATTACATAACTGCTGCTTTATGAGAACTATCAAGTTTCTGTGTCCTCACCTTCTTGTTTGGGGCAGAATTGTCGTCACTGGCATATTGGAGGCGCTTAGGTGCCAGGACCCGACCCTTAACCTCAAGCTCCTCCGGACTAGTGTTAATTTCGTTGACTAAAACTATGACGAAATATGTTCGTCAACGACCTTTTTTTCCATGACGAAAACGAGACGATGACGAAACGGCAGTAAACAATAACTGCAACGAAATCATCATGCAATATCGTTGACGAAAAGTGACGAGACGAAAATGTAGTTTACTAAATAAAAACTATGCCAAAATCTCTCTTTACTTTCGTTGACGAAAGTAAAGAGGAAATGAGGAGACGAAATATTATCAAAGATAACGTTACATCTCTGATAGTCAGTTTTTCTCCCAGCAGTTCCATTTCCGGCGCTGCGGCAGGGCAGCAGCTGTGTGTCTGTGCTGCGCGCGGCGGTAGATTTGAATTACACCGGGCAGCGGCACACTATGAACTGTCAGGAAGACTCTGGTCTAACTCATGGTCTAACTAACCTTATTTAACAGAAAATAAAATGGCAACAACAGGGCTTGGGAGCAGTGGCGGCGCCAGAGATTTTCTCTAGGGGGTGCTGTGGGGTAGCTTGACGTTTCATAGAGGGTGCTCAAACATTTAGGGTTTCCCATTAATGCACCAGCGCTACAGTTGCATTTTCTACTGCAACACTCCCCACGCACACACACACACAGTGCACCCGCGACTGTTACAATGAAGGCTCGATAATCAGCTCACGGCATATAGGCAGGGGTAAAGTGCTATTTCTACAAGTGGGGAGCGGACCTCACCTCTAGGAGGGTCCTCACCTCCTCTAGGGGGGCCCGGGGGCTAGCTCCCCCGGGAAGATTTTTTTTAAATATTGAAGTTAAAAGCATCAATCTGGTGCACTTTGAGAGCAACATTAAGAGATCTATGGATACATCTCTCAACACCCATACGAAACAGAACTGTCAACAGATTTTCTATTTCTTTATAGATATTTTACAAATCACTCCCCTTTTAAAACAAACCGTTTGAGACCCACTGAGATAACTAGACTAAAGTTAACTATCTAAACACTGAGAGTCCTTTACTTCACCTGAGTTGAGGTTACCTGAGACTCTCCGTCTGACAGGAGAGTTCTCCCTCCACCTTGTTGTTGAAAAAGCTCCTTATATCCATTAGCTTGGCTAGCTAGCACCAGATGCTAACCACAACGATCTCCGGTAGATACCCACTGGTGCGCGAGGCGAGCTCTCTCGCTCGCGCACGCACACAAAATGGCTCGTGCCACACACATATGGCGTTATATTTGTGCCTCTATCCTGAGCACGCAATGAAACATGTTGAGCATAGAAAATGCTATTGAGCGCGCACTTGAACAGTTTTGAGCACAGAGAAATATATTTTCTCTCGTAAAACTCCTGCTCCGTGCGCAAGCAGACCGCTGCACGCGCTCTCTCTCCCCCGCTCGCTCGACCTCTCCAGCCTGCGCGCGCTCAGCTTTGCCTGCGCTCGCTCAAGTTGTCACAGCGTTACAAATGTGCCACAAAACCAACCAATCGGAGAACTCGAGAAGGTCAATTCTGATTGGCTGGTCGTCTCCAATCATATCTTCTATCTGAGATGAGAGAGGGATTTTCGGTTGCCATCAGGCTGTTGACGTTCTTATTACACATCTATCGTTGACATTTACAGGACATGACAGACTCGAATGAAGAGAATAGCACGCCACAGTGTCAGGTGAGTTATACATTTCTAGTTTTCTGATATCACGTTATTGTTTGCAATGCCTGAGTTTGCTAGCCGGCAACATAGCTATAGGGGTAGTTTAAGCAAACCGCTAACAAACCGTAGCATACATGTAGCTACATGAACCCTTCTGAGGTATTGATTACTTGCTGTAAGCATTAGAGGTGGCAGAATGACAAAACATGTTTCTCTCTCTATCACAATGTTGGGTTGACCAGAACCTGGACCAACTTCTGTTTCCTGTTCTACAATGGGCATAGAGCTTGCGTTAATTTTCAACCGGACAGATGAGGCTAGGATACCGGCTAAAGTTAGCAACACACGTTAACCATGAACAGCCTATTAATCCGTTCTCCTCATGTTATTTCTTCCAACGTTGTGGAATTAGAGAAAAGGGGCTTCTTAACGTGCTTTTATCCGGGGTGGAGGGAGTTACATATTAGTTAAATATAACATTGGGGCGTGTGATTGTAGTGGGTGGAGAAATGAGGATATCCATTTTGGAGTTCCAGCTAGTATAATATAGTTAACGTTACACAATAATAAGGAAGAGAGCTATTTGTGTGATACATCGCTATTGATATGGATTTAGAGTGGATATTTGAGACTTCTAAACAGTAAACAAAAACATAATTTATGGGTGAGTGTTTTTAGCAGAGCCATATTATGTCTTTGTGATTCTGTTGATTATTACCCGTCTGTATTATGTTGCAGCTCAGCTTATGTTGGATTGATGGCAAAGGGAGAGGGACTTAAGTGAGAGCGAAAACACAAGGTAAGTTTAAAATAGGTCAGCAATTTCCCATCCTATAGGTTGCTAGATGTATCTAACCCTTTCTCCTGTCTCCCTCTCTCAGCACAAGAACCCCAGGGGGATTCAATGGAGCATGAAGACCTGCACTGAGACCCTCACCCTGCACCTGAGTCTCAACTCCCAGAGCTTTGCAAGCCTCTCCCTGTTCCTTATTTTGATTAAACAGACATTAAGCTTCCCAATGGTGTGGTCTTCGTTTTGTGAAAAATATGATTACCTCACATATGTTGTTGCTGTTGTTGTCTTTTGTGATAGTTAAATTGCTCCTGCTGACTTGAGCCAGCCATTCTTTCCTCCTCTCTGTGTCAGTGGGGAAACCTTACATTCATACTCCTTTCTCTGAGCGCTTGAAGCAGCACAGCAAACCATGGGGGAGACTATATGCCGGACAACACGGAGGAAAAGGCACAGACAAACTGCATGATATGCTATTCAATGTTTATTGAATTCCATTTATTTACAATGGATGTTCCAAAAACAACATTTAACATCATCATGCTGCTGCTGCTTTGACTCATTGTGCTGTCAGTTGACAATCATTGATATAGGCACCTGTGGGTCTCCTGTCCTTTCTGAAAGTCATAAAGATTACATTAGTACTTTAGATTACTTGTGTCCTCAATTACCAGGGGATTACTGAAACCACCATGAATTAATGAAATGGTAGAACTGAATCTAATCTGAATTTTTAAACCTTCCTTCCCACCCTCTAAATATATCAAACATTAGGATGTGATGCTCCTGACTACCATACAGGTTTAAGAAGATAATATTTGTTTTAAAGAATTCAAAGCAATAAACAGGCTCTTTAACCAAGGCAACGTTAGCCTAACATGTATGTTAACAGGTAAGATAGCTGTTCACACTATGTATATTTTCCACGTTGTAATGCTATGTTATTTCTATTTAAGATGTTTACATTTTCGATTGTTTAATTATAGTCTTTTAACTGTCTAATGTACAATGCCTCCTTGTCTTTTGCTGCTGCAGCGTAAACATTTCCCCAATTGGTATCAATAAAGTAGGCTACTTCTTATTTTATCTTAATCCTCAAATATTAGCACATTAAAAAAAAAAAACACACACATTGATGTAACTACATACATACACATTTGTAACGCTGTGACAACTTGAGCGAGCGCAGGCAAAGCTGAGCGCGCGCAGGCTGGAGAGGTCGAGCGAGCGGGGGAGAGAGAGCGCGTGCAGCGGTCTGCTTGCGCACGGAGCAGGAGTTTTACAAGAGAAAATATATTTCTCTGTGCTCAAAACTGTTCAAGTGCGCGCTCAATAGCATTTTCTATGCTCAACATGTTTCATTGCGTGCTCAGGATAGAGACACACACAACACACACACACACACACACACACACACACACACACACACACACACACACACACACACACACACACACACACACACACACACACACACACACACACACACACACACACACACACACACACACACACACACACACACACACACACACACACACACACACACACACACACACACACACACACCACACACACACACACACACACACACACACACACAGAGAGAGCAGGGCTTGAATGAAACACAGAGACCCAGAAGTAAGCTACTTGTACTCACGAGGCCTATTATGTGCAGAATCCCTCTCGCTTTCAGTTGGTTTTGATTGAGTGTCCACACGTGGACGTTTAAGGACTAAAAAACGATCAATTTTTCCCTTTGCTGTTAGCAATTCATTTGGCGCTCTAGCTAACAGGAAGTCACTCAAGTGTCACAAAGTAATTTAGCCTATGGGTAGGTCAAAAATCGAATGGGTGCTGGCCATTGGCCTAATCATATCACCTGTGTTGGCGTTATGTTTTTGGTCCAAAATGTGTTTGTTTCACATATGCATTGATGTAATCAATAATATTTCTAATTTAATTTAATAAAAATAATAATAATTTTCGAAAAAAATAAAAATAAAACACATATTTCTTGGGGGTGCTTTGGCAATCCTGGGGGGTGCTTCAGCACCCCCTAGCTCCCCCCTGGCGCCGCCCCTGCTTGGGAGCAGTGGTCGCACTCGCGTTAACCGAATACCCCCCCGTCAGCGCGAGTGAGTGATAAATTGTGCACTCGACGGGTAATAATGGATTATGACGGAAATTTCGTCAAAATGACTGACAACGAAAAAGTCTAAAGCCACCACTGCTTGGGATAAAGAAACTATGTGATATTTGGGCCCATTTTCGCTACAATGAGGCGGAGAAAGAAAGCGAATGCATTGTTTTATCAGAAGGGCAGCAATGTGGCCATAACACACCTGGTAAAAACACCACAAACCTTATCAGATACTCTCTGCAAAGCTGCATTCTTAATCATTCAACCTGTGTTTTTCATCAAATAAGGACAAGATATAATCTTATTTATTTATATATGCTAAAAGGACAAATTATTGGTTTTATTACTAGTTTGACTGAAATGTTCTATATTATCTGATGACTAAAAAAGACTCAACAGTTTTCATTGACAAAAAGTAGACTAAAATAATTAGTTTTCTTTGACTAAAATGCTCAGACTTTTAGTCGACTAAATCTTGACTAAAATAGTTACTGTTTTAGTCGACTAAAACTTGACTAAATAAAAACAGGATGAAGGTGACTAAATATGACTAAAACTAAAAAGGAAATTTAACAAAGGACTAAGACTAAAACTAAATTAAAAAATAGCTGACGAAATTAACACTACTCCGGACCATGTGGATTTACTTCCTACAAGTAACAGCAGTACCACCATTGCCTTGAGGGAATGTATTACTCAAAACAAACAACCCGTTGGACTCAATGACGAACTATTGGTGTTCAAGGTCAATGTGACCTAATGTCCATCCCATTCTCATGTTATCAGGCACACCTGGAGGGAAATTAATTACATCTGGCACAAAGGACAGAAGGATGACATATTTACCACATATTCTTTGACCAGTGTGTCCAGGTCTTCATTGAGGTAGATGCTCAGACAGCTCAGCACACAATCACGCCTCACGTTGATGTCTGCACTCTGAAACAAACATTACATGATTCCATGCTGGTCACTGTCAGAGACGCATGTGCTGAGGCCAGCCAAGCCACTGACATTTCCCTCCTTGACCATCCTGAACTCACCTGGTTTCACCCCACTCAGTTAAAACTCACACAGGTCTGAGCCCGTTCACTACACAGTAATTTTGAAAGTGCCTATCCTTTTCCAAATCGTTAACAAAAGGAGCTTTCCCATATGGCTGAGTCAAACAAACCATATGTGTATTAGGCTAGACCAAAAAATACTTACATTATCCGTCTTTGCCATCACGGCTCTGATCTTTCTTCCTGCAGCTCCACCTTTGGTATGGAAAACTCTGATCAGGTCGTCGGTCAGGCGGTCCAGTTCTCCAAGGAATTTGGAGGACAGAGGTACAGTCGTCAGCCGCATAAACTCCAAGATGATCTGTAAAAGACAACACAGACAGGATACAGACTTAAACAGGGGCAGCTGTAGCTCAGTTGGTAGAGGGGACATTCATAGACCGAAGGTCAGTGGTTCGAATCCCGGCTCTGACTGTCCACATGTCAAAGTGTCCTTGAGCAAGGCTAGCACACTGCACAGTTGGGTGCACAAAAGTGCTATTTAAGTGCAGACTATTTACCAGATGTGTGACATTGAATACATGAGTTACTAAACTTCAGATTCACACTTACCTCACTGACGTCAAATAGTGCTGGCCATTAGTTTAGGAACTCTGGAATCTTTGGCTCCTGGAGAATCTCCTGTCTCCTAAGCGAGAAGGTACGCTGCATCTTCTCCTTAATCACGGCCTCGTCTTTTTTTTTTTTTTTTGTCGAAACGGACATAATCGGTCAACATGGGCGCCGAAAGGAAAATGGCTCCGCTTCTCAGCGCCAAAAAACAAGGCCACTTGAACTGATGCAACGGGATTACAAACTGAAAAAGTGCATTCCAGAAGTTCAAAAAAATAAATGTATAGAAAATTGATGCACTGACACAAGTTAGATTCCAACATTTCTATGTAAACAAACACAAAAACATATCTCTCTATAATAAACCGTTTTGGAGATATTCACCGATATGTAAAACTTTAGACTTTTTGTCTAAATCTAAAAAAGTGTCTAAAAAAAAAATGCACCCCTACCCGAAAAGCTTTGAATGAAATGCATCAATTCGCCAATCATTGATTATTTTCCTACTCAGCATAGAGCACCACGTTTAGTGAATTGCTAGCTAACGTTAGCTAGCGAGCGCCGGTACACGTGTTGCTTGTAGTAGGACTAAAGATAAAACTGCTTACAATCATCACAAACTACGTAGATTTGATCATCAATGAATTGATATTAATGTAATATGATAAAAAAAAACTGCACGAATAATACACAGATGGATGTAAGTAGACAAAGGATGACTCGGATTACTCACCATTAAGGCTGAGGTAGCACATGAAGTCCAACGGAAAATAAGGATGTCATTTCCTGTTTCCCGATTTCACTTCCCCCAAGTTGTACGTAAACCAATCACATACGTTTTAAATAAAATAATCTTGTTTGTTTATATGTATTAAGTAATTACATTTAATATATTTTAGAATTGACAGAATTATACAGGTTATAATTAATTTCAATACATACATTTAAAAAATATGAGTATTTAAATAAAATCAAATAGATTTATATGCTTAAAAATAAACTATGTGAGTGTCCTGCTATTGTTTAACCTCTAAGTAATTACATTCAATATATTTTAGAATTGACAGGAATTATACAGATTATAATTAATTTCAATACATACATTTAAAAAATATGAGTATTTAAATAAAATCAAATAGATTTAAATGCTTAAAAATAAACTCTGCATGATTCATTTCTGTGAGTGTACATGCTGGCCCTACTGTATCTGCCTTTCTACCAACAGAATAGTAAACCAGATGTGCCTATATTGTTGTTCGATTCTTACTAAATAATACGAAGCCGAAGATAGATAAATAACATCTTTAAAATAAATAATAAATGGCAGGGGCTTTGCTCAAACATTTCTAACCATCTTGATGATCTTATGATGGAAGCCGGGAACGACATAGACTCATACTCAATAAGGATGATGTGAACCAAAATTAAATCGTTCTAATGAGTTATAAATACTGGTGTTACTTTCTATCCTTTATATATATTCTTAACTATGTTGTGTCATACAAAACAGGTATAGATTTTCCTAAATACATAAATATAAATAAATGCTCTGAGATTTGAATAGAAATTAAACAAGAGATTTCAAAAAAGGCCTAAATCGAAAGAAAACAATAGTTGGCCAAATGGACGTGTGTTTGAAGGCACATACATGTTTCAATGAGTGGAGATTTCAATGACAATATTGTAGACACATTTATTTGCATAAAAGACTGAATGGAAATCTAATACATAGACAAATGAAGAAAGAGAGAGAGAGAGAGAGAGAGAGAGAGAGAGAGAGAGAGAGAGAGAGAGAGAAGAGAGAGAGAGAGAGAGAGAGAGAGAGAGAGAGAGAGAGAGAGAGAGAGAGAGAGAGAGAGAGAGTGTGTGAGAGAGAGAGAAAAACAGAGACTTGCACCTCCTTCGTTACATGTGACAGTCTAGCTCCCCCCCTCCCTCCCCCCTCCCTCCCTCCTGCCTCACGCTCATGCCGTCTCGCGCGCGTCTACATCTCTTCATTTCTCCGTCTGCTCAGCTTCTTTCTGATACATCCTCCTCATTTCCCCCCGGTTCTTCTTTCTCGTTTTTTTTCTTTGTTATCTGCATCTTCGACATGCTCACGTGAAGTCCGCCAACTTGCAGAACACTGTGGATGCCGAGTTAAAAAATAAAAAAGAAGGCAGATGCTCTATCGGGGAATAATAGAAACAACTACGCACGTTTGCATCTTTCGTTGAGTGCCTTGGCTTGAACGGAGCAACAGGATGGATCTGTCCTTCATGGCTGCGCAGGTGAGATATATTTTCTCTCATTTGCACAAAGAGGTTAATCAGGTTCTAACTTTTGTACATTTATCTATTGATTTCATGGGCGTGGCCGGTTAACAAGTCCATGCACTTTATCAATTTTACATGTTCTGTACGTCTGAACACCATTTATCAAGCCGTTTAGCATAAATTGGTTCCCTTAACTGGAAAATCAATATCCGTAATATGGCTAATGGGACTTTATGGCACTTAGTACTCCCCTGCTATATGGTCATTCTTGTAGAGGTATTTTAGTAATTAGTTTATATTGTTGTCCTTTATATGCTTTGTATAGGTTTTAGTTTTGGGGAATTTTACGGTCATACTGTACTTTTCTGTGTTTTATTTAATTAAAACTTTTTTTAATAGTCTTTTTAATTACATTTTATTGTTTTGTTTTTGCAGTGAAATTACAACAGTTTGATTTGACCAAGACCCTGTGGTCTATTGTGTTGAGGAATATGGCTGTTTGAATTGATTTTGGATACATTATTATCCTCTCCTCTCTCAGTGTCTGCCTGCGTATGGTTTGTACTGTGCCATTTTCTGTGCAACTGCTATTAAAAGACTTTACAGCATCATATTTGCTGCCAATGGCTGTTGTGCAGGACCGAAATGCCCCCAAATCTTTATAAATCATAAACCCCTGAATTAAATGTCATTGGAGCATGGAGCCATCCGAGAATACATTTTTCTTCAACATGAGAGGTAGAGTGATAACATTGGAGAAAATGAAATCTTACATCCAAAAATAGCATTATTCATAATAATTATGCAAACTTTTGGTGAATGAAGTTATCAAAATCAGGGTTATAATTCACATTACTCTGGTAAGGACTCAATGTGCTCTTGTGATTTTAGAAGCTGTATACAGATAAGATAGACATGCACATGAACCACACTTAGAGCAGCTGACAGCATGGGAAAGGCAGGTCAGCCTATTTATGTGGGCAGTCAGTTACTCATAATCACAACTGGGAATGGTTGAATACCACGGTGTTTGAACACACTCAGCTGGAGCCTGGGACTCCGCTGCCAAAGTAATATGTTTCTTCTGCCCTGGCGATGCATGAGGAGGATGCACAGCTATGCAGAAAGCGCTCTCAGTAATGGTGGCAGACAATGAGCTGGCCTTAAAAGTACAGAAAGCAATTTTAAAGAATGTGGAAACCATATTGCACAACACATTTGGTGAGAGCATTTTATTAACTTTTATTAAAAAAAGAGCAAATGTATTCTCAAAATGGATAAGCAAGAGGGAAACAAAATTATCAGCAGTTTAACATTACTGCAACATGTGTGAAGAATTTATTAAACCTACACTTAACGATGGCTGCAACTACAAATCATAATAATCCCTGCAAATACAAGTACCAAAAACAAGCAGTATTAGCAGAAGGTTCAAATTGTCTCTTTATTGCTCCAGAGTCCAGACATACAGTGGGGCAAAAAAGTATTTAGTCAGCCACCAATTGTGCAAGTTCTCCCACTTAAAAAGATGAGAGAGGCCTGTAATTGTCATCCTAGGTACACTTCAACTATGAGAGACAGAATGGGGGGAAAGAATCCAGGAAATCACATGGTAGGAGTTTTAATGAATTAATTGGTAAATTCCTCTGTAAAATAAGTATTTGGTCACCTACAAACAAACAAGATTTCTGGCTCTCACAGACCTGTAACTTCTTCTTTAAGAGCCTCCTCTGTCCTCCACTTGTTAACTGTATTAATGGCACCTGTTTGAACTCGTTATCAGTATAAAAGACACCTGTCCACAACCTCAAACAGTCACACTCCAAACTCCACTATGGCCAAGACCAAAGAGCTGTCAAAGGACACCAGAAACAAAATTGTAGACCTGCACCAGGCTGGGAAGACTGAATCTGCAATAGGTAAGCAGCTTGGTGTGAAGAAATCAACTGTGGGAGCAATTATTAGAAAATGGAAGACATACAAGACCACTGATAATCTCCCTCGATCTGGGGCTCCACGCAAGATCTCACCCCGTGGGGTCAAAATGATCACAAGAACGGTGAGCAAAAATCCCAGAACCACACGGGGGGACCTAGTCAATGACCTGCAGAGAGCTGGGACCAAAGTAACAAAGGCTACCATCAGTAACACACTACGCCGCCAGGGACTCAAATCCTGCAGTGCCAGACGTGTCCCCCTGCTTAAGCCAGTACATGTCCAGGCCCGTCTGAAGTTGGCTGGAGAGCATTTAGATGATCCAGAAGAGGATTGGGAGAATGTCATATGGTCAGATGAAACCAAAATAGAACTTTTTGGTAAAAACTCAACTAGACGTGTTTGGAGGAGAAAGAATGCTGAGTTGCATCCAAAGAACACCATACTGTGAAACATGGGGGTGGAAACATCATGCTTTGGGGCTGTTTTTCTGCAAAGGGACCAGGACGACTGATCCGTGTAAAGGAAAGAATGAATGGGGCCATGTAACGCGAGATTTTGAGTGACAACCTCCTTCCATCAGCAAGGGCATTGAAGATGAAACGTGGCTGGGTCTTTCAGCATGACAATGACCCCAAACACACCGCCCGGGCAACGAAGGAGTGGCTTCGTAAGAAGCATTTCAAGGTCCTGGAGTGGCCTAGCCAGTCTCCAGATCTCAACCCCATAGAAAATGTTTGGAGGGAGTTGGAAGTTCGTGTTGCCCAGCGACAGCCCCAAAACATCACTGCTCTAGAGGAGATCTGCATGGAGGAATGGGCCAAAATACCAGCAACAGTGTGTGAAAACCTTGTGAAGACTTACAGAAAACGTTTGACCTCTGTCATTGCCAACAAAGGGTATATAACAAAGTATTGAGATGAACTTTTGTTATTGACCAAATACTTATTTTCCACCATAATTTGCAAATAAATTGTGATGATTGTGATGATTTTCTGGATTTTTTTTCTTCAAATTTTATCTCTCATAGTTGAGGTATACCTAGGAGGAAAATTACAGGCCTCTCATCTTTTTAAGTGGGAGAACTTGCACAATTGGTGGCTGACTAAATACTTTTTTGCCCCACTGTATCTGTTTTATCATTCCTCAAATTAATGAGGCAATACCATTTTCTACAATGTTTTAAAACTGAATGAGGTATGGATTGCCACTCAATTTATTACGCCATCCTGTGGCGGCCTCTTCTTCCGCAACGGTATAATTGTCTTCAAGTTTTGGTGCCACCTGCTGCTTGTCTTGACAAATGAAATCATAATAATTACATAAACGCAAATTTCGTTTTGCCATTTTTTTGTAAAAATGTGCCTACATTTGCTTTACATTTGTATGTATAATGTCAGTTAAAATGTATATGCTATGGGCCAGTTGTGTTAAGAGTTAAAATGCGAAGAGTCATGGTAGAAGGTGACAACTATTTAGTGCCAGGAGTCATGGCCTCGCTTAGATAAGGCTCTGCTTCCAGTTCCCCATGACCCCATCTCATCAAACTTGTTTCCTACAGCTCATCCAGTTAACCTTT